GGCTTGAGCGGACATAAGGAGCACCCTTAGCCTCTCTTATTTAGTAGCACAGGGATTTTTGTGTTTCAGAAGTTGTAGAGCATTGGTGTGCATTGCCCTTAAGCAGTAGAGCCCGTGCTGCTTCATCACTTACTCTCCCAGCAGTAGCTTTTTAGACAAGCCTAAGCAATGCTCGTGTGTTTGTAAGCTGCTTGTCAAGTGGAACGCGTTGAGTTTCCTTAGTGAATATAAAGGCATTGCATGCTGAAATGAGGTTGTCTCAGCCGCAAGTCAGCGTGTAAAAATATTAGCTACTTATTGTAGTGCTTACAACTTCATTCCTTACCACCCCCATCATACTGTACCATCTGCTTGTGTGCGTGTTTGTTTGTGTGCTTTACAGCATAGATAGAGGGAAAAAAAATCGCTTTGGTTATTTATGTAACGTAGTGCACACATTCTCAGTACTGGATATTTCGAATTGGCTAACAGTTGTCATCAGTGATGCCAGAGATTTATTATGTCTTATTGGAAAGGCCATTTTCTCTGTAGAAAAATACACATGGAAGCAAAAATAAGCTGTGTTTTTTAGTGTATACAGTTCTTCGCCATACACAGAACATGCAAATATCTGTTTTCATTGGCTGCAGCAGTCCATCTGTAGAACATAGGTTTGTTCTAAATCTGTAATAGGAACAGGCTACCTTTTCACAAGAGCAAAAGAATCTACACAAAGTAAAATAAATAGGCTTCTGGCTGCCAGAAGACTGCTTAGGCACCTGCAGTATAGAAGTAAACAATCTTTCTGTACATGCTGTTTTCACACTCGCCTTTTCAGAGCCTTCTTTTTTGTATCCTAAATGCCTCTTCTGCTTGCCAAAAAGAAGGATAATTAAATATCCTTTAAGTAGCATTTAAATCTGAATGACAGGAACACCTATCCTCCTGAACCATTTCCATGTAGGAAGTAAGGCAGGAAAACAGTGGTATCGTGGTGCTACTTCAGCAGTCCTGAGAGCAGCTTTAAGGTGGGGATTCAAAATACCCATTTTCCCCTGCAGTGACATATGCAGCATCCTTGCAAGCATCTCCAGCAGTACAACTGCCTTTTATATCTGCTATTTCTGTAGTAATCTGACCGAATTGAAAAGCAAGAACCTTTTTTCAGATGCCAATTTTAAAGCAGTGCACTAATCTTCGATTTTAAGAAGCAGCTACCAATAAAAATGTAAATTTAAAAGAATCTTAGAGTCCTTTCCACAGACCTAGTGAGGATCATATTTTGAACTAACACACAGTTTTTCCATTGCCCACAGTTTTTGTGCCAGTATGTGGATATTACTTCATATGCGAAGGACATTTAGTTTTGATTTGCTGATGGGCACAGCCAGGGTTTGATGGTGCTGAGGATGAGACATGTCAGTACTACTTATTTCTCTTTCCCACTCTTTGAAATTTTCCTATTGCAATCAACAGAAAGTAGGTGTGTGCAGGAATGATATAATGGCTTTGTTTCCAGAGTCAGATKGTGTCTGTGTATAAGTGCTCTTTTAGTAAATGTTTTACTTGTGGTACATTAATACATCTTTTACTCTGTTAGCCTCTTTTTGCTAAAATTGAAGACTTGAAGAACTATCAGTGTCCTTGAAAATTTAAAGTAGGATGTTTTTAAAAGGAGATTTGCTCATTCATATTTGTCTTCACCTTTCCCTTCCCCTGTGCTTTATTGCACGAGGCATTAGTGTGGAAACACACGTCACATTCACGGGCTCTTGTCTCTTCCTGCTGCTTTGCCTACTGGAAGTCAGAGTGCTGCTTGGTTTCTGACATACCTGATTACTATAGAAATGATTACCATGTCATACCCAGGATTTCATGTGCAGAATGTGCAGTGGGAACATAGATGAGTCTGTCAGCAGAAGGTTCCTGGAAATAAGGGAAAAGGGAAGAGCAATGCAGAGCACCTAGGCAAAATCTATTGTTACTGATTGTTTCTAAGAAGGCGTAGCCCTCAGGAAAAAGGGGGATTTGCAGGATGCTTGTTCTTAAATGACTAAGATAAATGTGTATTTGTGTTTCAAGGAATAATTATTTTATTTTGACTCCAGCAGTTGGCACTGGYCAAGGTGATTTCCGTGGACATTCCCTGTATGTCCCTGATCACTGTTCCACGTTAGGGAGACTAGACAGCTATCGCTCTGCCGTGCAGCGGTCTGAAACCAAGGACACCAGCTGCCAAACGGAGGACGTGAAGGTTGTGCCCCCTTCGATGAGAAGAATACGGGCACAGAAAGGACAGGGCATTGCTGCCCAGATGTCTCAGTTCTCCAGTTCGTCTGGAAACATGTCGGTGATGAGCGATTCCGCTGCGGTTATGTTTGCCTCTCGACCAAGCAGCGACATCGGCTTTCACAGCCTGCCTCGGGCTGGTGCGAGAGTCTCCCTGCAGGCCCTGGAGCAGACACACAGCATCTCTAGGCAGACAGAAGATGTTGCTGCCACTCTGCCTCACCAGATGAGTAAACTGCAAGTGGATGAGAGCGTTGTGCCTCTGAGGAACAATCCCACTGCAGGGACCCTCTCAAGGCCGAAGTCACAGGAGGTGAGAGCTTACGAGAGTGACAACTCCACGAGCCCAGCRTGCGTGGTCTCTCCTCACGCCACCTACTCAACAAGCATCATACCCAATGCCACGCTGTCATCCTCCTCCGAAGTTATTGTTATTCACACTGCCCAGAGCGTTGGGTCCCTGGACAGTAAGATTACCAGCTCTGCTGCCTACGCGAAGCCAAGAGACCCCCCTGTTGCCAGCAGCGCAGCAAGCGGGAAGGAGGATCACCATTCTTCCAGCGGCAACTGGAGCGAGAGCAGCTCCACGCGCCACTCGCAGACCTCGGACACGATACCGTGCAGTTCGGCCCTGGTGCTTTCCCTCGGGGACTCTGCCGTCTCCCTCAGCACTGCCGGCAACGTGGAGGCGGCRTCGCAGGCCGGGAGCTACGGCGGCAGCCATAGTCTGGCTGTGCCGAGCCAGGCGCAGGACAGCGATGGCAGGAGCGAGTCCAGCTCGTGCGGGGAGCGAGCGCCCGCAGCGGGGAGCTGCGCCGAGCACTGGCTCTACCGGCCGGCGCAGAACAGCGAGACTCCCCCGCGCAAGGCGGCCTGTGGCACGCCGGGCTGCGCCACTCCGGTGAGCAACSTGAGCGGCAGCAGCCTGGAGAGGGCCTCGGGTAAAGAGGATGCTGCTTCCCTCTACTCGGTGGACCACGATGGCTATTACACGTCCATGCACACGGACTCCGGGCTCAAGGCAGAGCGGCCGTGCAACAGTACGAACGGTTTTGGGAACCCCAGGGACAGCACGAGTAACGTGCTCGACGGAAAAGAGAAGAAACATCACGAAGACCAGTCAGGCCAAACTGACAAGTCTCTTGGAAGAAATATCTCTCTCAAGAAGGCAAAGAAGCCGCCTTTGCCGCCATCCAGAACAGACTCGCTCAGAAGGGTACCCAAGAAGAAAGCGCAGTCCAACGGGCAGGTGCTCGACGAAAACCTCATTGCCACCCTGCAGCACTCCCTGCAGTTGAATCTCAAGTGCAAGAACGGCAGCTCGCCCTCGCAGAGCCCCTGCAGCGACTACGAGGACCCGTGGGTGCTGCGCTCCCGCAGCCAAAGCTCCGTGAGCGCCGGCAGCAGCGCCATGTCCCCCGCTGCTCCCAACCTCTACTCCCTCTGCACGCTCACGCCCTCGCACAGCGAGACCAGCAGCATCAAGTCCGAGTACGCTGACCAGTGGGGCTACTACAGCGACTACGCTGCGGTGGCCGAGGAGCCCGTGAAGTCGCCGGTGACTCATTCGGCCAGTACCTCGTCTGCTCTCAGCGACTGCAGCCTGGGCCACCTCAGTGACGGCTCCCGCGCGTCGGCGCCACGAGCGCCCAGCGGGGCGGCCAAGCCAAAGACGGCTTCTCCGGAGAAATGTCACCGAGTGACTTCGCCTTCGAGCGGCTACTCCAGCCAGTCCAATACACCCACCGCGCTTACTCCAGTGCCTGTGTTACTGAAGTCAACGTCTGCAGGAAATGGGAAGTCCAAGCTGAAACCTAAAGTGCCTGAAAGGAAATCTTCTCTTCTGTCTTCGGTCTCCATTTCTTCATCTTCCACTTCTCTTTCTTCAAATACATCTACTGAAGGCAGCGTGAGCACGAAGAAACTGGAGCCCTCGCTGAGCTCTCCCTTGGATTCTGGGGCACCTCCCCCACCACCTCCCCTGCCCACATCCCCTCCACATTGTCCTGATCTCTCTCCTCTCCCTCCCCCTCCTCCAGCGGAAGCCATGGATCTGTCACCATTGCCAGCCTCTCCCACATTCCCCCCTCCTCCACCTGAAGCTGAGGTAAATTCTTCCTATGCCCAGAGTGTCCAGTGGTTTCCCCAAGAAACGTCCATGAGTTCATTCTCTTCCCCTGTTCCTCTTCCTCCTACCAGTACTTTTCACTCTGCTGTCCCACCACCAGCACCACCTCTTGATCCCAAGCTGACRAAATACTCACAGTGTTCTTTCAAGAAACGTACCCAGGAGGATTCTTCCTACAGTCCGGTGAAACAGCCGTTCACCAAGCAAGATCCCTCGCGGCCCGTGATGCCCTTAGTAACTACCAAAGCACTGCAGATGGTGCAGCTGAGGTCTGTGAGGAAAGCCACGGAAGGTGACGCGTCACCCGAGCCTGCTCCTGAAAGCCTCGCTCAGGAAAAGGGTGCTGCGAGTTCAGCACCACCATCTTCCCTCAAGCCACCTTTCTCCCTGAGACTGAGTAACAGCTTTGGTGAAGAGGAGATGAAAACTCATGGCACTTCATTTAAGAACTCAGTTCAAGCACTGCCTCGGAGCTCCCTTCAGAGTCTCTCTGACCATGTCCCTGAGCTTGACAGCGATCAGAAATCTGCAAGTGCAGCGGGTCTAAACAAACCTTTTGATGCTGATTTCCAGGGAACAGCTGCCGAAGATGCACCAGAGCCTTCAGTGCGGAGTGAGGACTTCCATTCTGGCTGCACCAGCACGGCACCTCAGGGGTCACCAGCATCTCCGGACAAGACTCAGGTCCCGTTGCCAAACAAGAAACCCCCTCCTATTTCAAAGAAACCCAAACTGTTCCTTGTCGTCCCACCTCCGCAGTTAGATCTTCCAGGAGAGAAAGCAGCTGATGGGAGCGATGCTGGGGGAAGCCCAGGGAAGGGCGACGCCGCGGTGCCTGCCCGCTGCGAGGAGGCGCGGAGCCGCCTCGCGCATGGCCTCCCTTCCAGCGAGATGGAGCCTGGCAGCCTCGTTCCTGAGGGAGGAGCTGCCGGCTGCACCTTCTCGGAGGCTGGGGAAGCCGGTGCCTGCGTGGAGCAGCCGGCTGCATCAGCGGCTCGAGGAGCTCCCGGGCGGGAGGAGCAGCCYGCTTGGGATGAAGGGAGCGGTTCAGGCAGCAGCCAGGAGAGCAGCGCTAGCACTGACGGGCTCCTCGCCCAGGAGAACGAAAGTGGTGAGTCTGCCTTCCCCGGCCCTTGTGCAGCTGCAGCGCTAGCTGCTTTAAAGAACGTGGCAATTACATGGAGCAGTTGCAGCGCTCAGGTCCTCTGCAGAGATTTTGTAGGTTGAGATTAATTTAAACTATAAAGCCTAAGGGAAGTTGTAGGATTGGATTAATGCTTGATATATATGTATATATTATTTCTGTCTTACTAATCATTGCTGCAGAAATAACAAAATGATATTAGGAAATAAAAATAATGCCTCGCTTAACTTTGCAAGGATTAAAAATGCTATGAAGAGGTGGTTAGCTTTGTAAATTTTAATTTTGCATTCTAATATAAACCGTAAAAGCCATCTGTCAGTGTTGTTCTCTGCCTGTGTGGGAACAAGCCTAGGCATTTCATACCCTGCAGTTTTATAGCAGGCGTTGATCTGAAGTCACAGTAATGCCTGTGGTGGAGCCAGGCACTGATCTTTTGGGTGCTYCACGGCAGCAGCAGCGTGGCCGGGTCAGGATTGCATGGCCTGGGGGCTCACCGTGATGAATTCTCCTCTCTATTCCTTCTGCCTAGCCGAGGTGTTTGAATTGGATACAGCAAATAGTTCATTCCTCCCCAGCAACAGTTATGGGGAAGAGACAGACGAGGTGGCAACACCTGCAAGACCAAGGACCACGGAGGATCTTTTCGCAGCCATTCACAGGTACTATGGAAATTGCCTTCCCTGTGCTGTGCAGCCAGTTAGTTCTTCCAAAATGTCATTAACGTTGTTTTCCTAAAGCACCCAGTAAATTCAGTTGCTGCTTTAACTGAAAACACCCATTTGTTGACTTTGTACTAAGGCTACATATGAAAAAGATAAGTGGAAGTACTTTGTGTTTTACTGTTTTACAAATATGTTTAACCTAGTCTGAACTGAAAGCTCCCCAGTTAAATCCCTGTAGATTGTATTATAAATATCCTGCCACTTAAAATATAGAATGACATCTAGTGTTTGTTGTACTGTTCTCGATCTGCCGAATTAACTCTACTGTTGCTCTCCCTGTTTATCTTTTTGTTTTCATTCCTGTTCTTCCCCACCTCTCTTATTCTCTTCGCTGCTTATATGGTGCAGTTTGGGACAGAGGCTCAACGCTAATGCTTCATGGCAAGCGTGGCTGAAACTGGCAAGTAACACCACATGTCAGTCATATGGCAACACATATGGCAAACGCTGGATTATAGCTTGCCATAATCCAGTGTGAGGTCGGGTGTCTTGTTTCAAACTGGTTCATGAGTGAGATGTGTGATACTGGCTCTGTTATTAATGTCATTATTCATTTCCCTCAAAAAAAAAAAAAAAAAAGTCACTCCAAATAGGCAGCTAGATTTCTGTGCTGTTCACTTTAAGTTTTCACCAAAAAAGCTTAAAAAAAAACCCCACGAAAYGAAGCATACACCATTTAAACAGGACACCCAGAAGAGCATTAACACTCCCCGAGCTTGCACTTAGATTAGTAGTGATGTGCTCGTGGTGCCATCTTGTGGCGTTGTAATTTACTTCAAGATTTACAAGGGGCTTCTCTTACCTGGGCACAAAAAGTCTCTAGTGGTTTCTCATTGATTCACAGGGCACCGTATTTAATCATCGGGGCGTTTAGTCAGCTTGTACCCGTGTGCRTGACTGACATCAGGGGTGTTCATGGGACAAGGGGAGTGTTGTGTAGGAGCATGGCAGAGAGGTGCGAGGCTGCACTGAAGGTGCAAATGCCACTGAAACTCATCTCATCATTGCAGATGTTAAAAAGTTTCACAAATATGTACTGTACTACATTAGGCTGATATTTTTTTTTTTTTTTTTAGCGTAGTGCTCTCTCTTAGGACTTGGCCTGTAAGAGCTGCTTTAAAAATTATCTCCTGCACCCTTACTGTGCCACTGGGAGAGATGGATCTGGCCGCAGAGCGAAACGTCCCGCCCGGCACGCGTGCTCCGGTGCGCATCGGGGGAGCAGATCCCTGTGGATCYGCAAACATGGAGCTCATGCATTCACAGGGACGTGCACAATGGAGCTGGGGTGACACAGTTAAATGGTCACRTTTGTTATTAGTTTGTTGTGACACTTCTGTTGGCCTTAGACTTGAACCACCACCTGCCTTGGTCGCTAGCTAAGAAAAAGGCAGCTTTGCTTGTTGCCCCTGTTTTCAAAGGCATCGTTTCAGAGCTTGGCGCTCTTGAATCTGGTTTTGAGAAAGACAAGAGGTTCAGGGGTGTGTTTGTTAAGGGCAGGAGAACGAGAGGGTCAGTGTCTGTGGTGAGGCCATGGACCTGTGTGATGATGTATCCTCTCTATGGGAACAGGGCCACCAAGCCCTCGTTTGGCTCCGTGTCAGTGTCTCGTCCCTGCCGTGACCTACAGGCGTGAGAGGAGCAGGGCAGATGCTGGCAGCAACCTTCTCTGGAGCGTTTTCCTCCTTGGAGTGACTGCTGTTTACCATGTTCACAGCTTCTTCAGGCCAGGGTCGCTGGTCTTCCTCTGCAGGTCTCTGAGACTGCAGTTTGCTCCCCGTTTCTTCAGAGTTTCCTTTGTAAAAACCCAGCCCGGGRGTGTTCAGAGGTGCGCCGAGACAGCTCAAATCCTCTTGAAGGGACTGCTGCTTAGGGCTGATGCCCACGGGCGCATTCGCACGCGGGCGCAGGGCGCCGCAGCACCAAGGTCACTCGCAGGCTGCAGCAGTGGCCTGCAGCGAAGCAGGCACGGGGCTCTTGTGTCACCGTCCTGTCCCTGCCCGTCCACCCTGCTGCCCAGCGGTGCCAGTGTTTCCTTCTTCTTTCAGCGTGGCGGCTGGAGGCCTGAAGTGACAGCAGTTGCAGGTGCCTGGCGGGTAGTTGAAGCTGTATCTGCATGAAGTAACCAGCCAGAGAGACAGCCTTGTCCCTGGGGGGTGGCAGAGTTCAGGGCGATGCCTGGTGCTGCCACCCACTTAGCCGATGGATCCAGCCAGCCTGTTTTTAATCAATCAATCAATCAATCAATCAATCAGTCTTTTTCAATCAAGCTTTTTCAATTTATTCTTCTTTAGTCCACAAAGAAAGCAAGCAGCTTAGCTACAGCTAACAGGCATTTAATGCGTACCCTCTGTTAAGATTTCTTACAAGTAAAAATGGGGCAACAGAGGTCCGGTTTCCACATATTCTCATGCCCATTGTTATTCCTTAATTTCATTATGTTATCACCGCACTCTATATTTAAATTAAAAACCACTCTGCCCATTTGTTGGAAAAGCCAGCTCTCCTGTTGCAGTCAGGAACATGGTCTCTGCCTCCTTTAGGCAAAGCTCTACGATCATAGAGCACGGGCAGAACAGTGTGTTTTGGCCATGCGCCTTATTAGAAGCTCGAAAGCTCCATTTTCACTACCTGTTTCTTTTTTTTTTTTTTTCTTTTTTTGAACCACTTAATCCAGAACAGTTCTGTGTGGCTCATTTTACTAAATTTGGACTTTCGGAGCAGTGCATTGCAATGTCAATTTCTCAAGGCAAACACCTTAAACTGCATTTCTGATTCTCCAGAAAGCATCGGGCGCTTTGAATGAAACAGCACCAAAAAAAGGAAAAAAAAAGCAACAAAGCAGATGCCATATTTTTAATTGAACYTCCAAATTAACAGACAAATAACATTAAAAATTATTTTAATAATGCATTAATTTTAGGCTCAGYTGGATAATGACTCCATAAAATTTATTTTGCTCAATTTGAATGGTTTTGGACATCAGTATTGCCAGTTATAGCAGTTTCATTGTTCCAGATTTGCAGAAAAAGAACAATTAGCCTTTCCCTCTGGGACCTGCGTTGATTCTTGTGCAGTTTGGGGGGTCTTCTTACTCATACCTTAGACTGAGGTGCCCTTTCCCGCTTTCCTTCTCTTCCTTAGCTTAATTCATTGCCATCCTTACAAGCGGAGATTCCTGCGGGGAGACAGAAAAGCAGGTTCGCTTTTGTTCCATCTTGTCCCTGTTTGTGTTTTCCCACCGCAGATCCAAAAGGAAAGTCCTTGGCCGTAAGGATTCGGAGGAGGAGCGCAGCCGCAACCACTCGCCGTCGCCGCCCGTGACGCCCACGGGCGCCTGCCCCGCGGCCGCGGCCCTGCGCCCCGCGGGCTCCATCCAGCGGAGCGTGCGCAGAAGCAGCACCAGCAACGACAACTTCAAGGCGCTGCTGCTGAAGAAGGGCAGCCGCGGCGACGCCGGCTCCCGCATGTCGGCGGCCGAGATGCTCAGGAGCACGGACCCGCGCTTCCACCGTGCCCGGGCGGACGCTGCCGCCGCCGAGCCGGGCGACGGCGCCGCCGGCTGCTCGCCCAGCAAGAGCCGGCGGGCGCAGGAGGAGTGGGCCAGGAGCGAGGGCCTCATGCCGCGCAGCCTCTCCTTCTCGGGCCCGCGCTACGGGCGCTCCCGCACGCCGCCCTCGGCCGCCAGCAGCAAGTACAACGTGCGCAACCGCATCCAGAGCAGCCCCATGACTGTCATTAGCGAAGGGGACGGCGAGGCGGTGGAGCAGCCCGAGGGCAGGGTTCGCAGGACTTTGGGGGAGCAGCAGGAGAGGCAGCTCGAGGTGTTTCACAGTGATGAGATGGACACAAGTGACTTTCCCTACGCCGAGGACCCCGACTGCAAGGAGACCTTGGATCCAACCCACGTGGACTTAGTGACTCAACAGGGTACTTCAGGGAGGTATCTGAGCCCTTCAGCTGAAGAGAGTTAAGAGGCAGTGACAAGGGCAAAGCGTGTTAGCCTAGGAGATGGCAGAGGACTGAATCCCAGAAGAGAGCCCAGACCAGRACAAGTTTCCTTTGCGGAGCATTTACTCCATGAACTGCATGCGTGTGCTTAAATGCTGAAGCAGTGGTGGTTCTGCATGGTGGGTTGGGGCGGGAAGGGCCTTCAGTGGTCTGTGGCTTAAGGAAAGAGGAAATTCTTGTGCAGAGCCTTAGTGGGCCTCTCGGGGCGGGCGAGGGGGAGTTTTTGCGCAGCCTGCGGCAGGGGGGGATGTTTTTCTTTTTCTTGAGGCTGCAGTTGTGTGAGCAAAACGTAGGGGTAAATGTGGGAAAGGAACGGGAAGGCTTCTGGGACACGAGCGGACAACTTGCTTCCCAAGCCTTTTACTGGTGCAACTTTGGACTTCATTAAGCACAGAGAGGTGGGATGGGGCACGCTCACCTGCGAGGCGGGGYGGATTTGGCACTGGGGTTGCACGGCTTCTCCCTAGGCAATGCACCCACGTTAGCTGAAGTACCTTCTGCTAACGCCAACAGCTCACTGGCTATAAATCGGTTGTGGCTACTAGTTTTTTTTTCCCGAGGGAAAATGAAGTGCTTGGTTAACACGGGCAAGGGAGCACAGGTTGATCACACAGTTCTAGCTGCTGTGCAGCCACACGTGCCCCCCTGTGGCATGAGACACTGCGTTTCAAGTGAGTTGCCTCCTCAAATAGCGTATTCCCTTGGAGAGCTGGAGCAGCCGGGCGTGTGCAGAGGATGTAGCCAACAACAGGAAGGTGGGAGAGGACTCGAGCAAATCCCGCCGGAGTTGGGAAGAGTTGGGTTTCGGAACCGAAAAACAAAATTTGACTTGGAGAACTTGCACTACGGAGCTGTAGGCAGAGCCAGTCTTTCCGAAYGGGAACATGGGAGCCAGGTTTTTCCCGCAGTCTTTCTTGTGTTTCTCGGAACTGGAAGGGTTCCTGCTTTTCCTCACTTGAAATACCAGATACTTGCTAACTTTTGGTTACCAAAGAGTAAGCTACGGTTACTTTCCTTTTTGATTTGCCTGCAGTATTTCTTTTCTTTCTAACCGTAATAATTTAGTGAGGTTTGTTTTTATTGTATATTTTACAAATAATAAAAAGCATTTAACGGTTTTCCAATTGTAAAGAAAACCATTAACTTTGATTCTTAGTAGGAATGAAGCTTTTAATTTTTAAGAAGAATTCTGCATCATTTGATGGCGTGCGCAGTTTTTGTATTGTTTGTAAATACTGGAAGTTGTTAAAATATCTTTTGATCTCCCTACGGTAGGATTTATACATTTTTAGACTGCTTTTAAGAAGAAAAAGCACTCCTTGTAGATTATTTATTTTAGAGAAATATGCGTGTAATGGCTTTCTTCAATGCTTTTCTTGTTAGCAATGTAAACTTCAGGGGCTTTCCTTTAACTCTTGCTTTCACAAGACGGGGACAGAGCTGAAAATGCTGTGACTTTGCTTCAATAAAGGAAAAGGCTGCGAGTTGCCATATTGTCTTTTGAGTTGATTAAAATCTCATTCAAAAGATGAGTCCCACAGTGTATGGCAACAGATTGGAGGCTGTAAACCATCCACCCAGCTACTAATCTTCAAGTTCTGCTGCAGAATTTGCCAATTCAGTGGAGAGGCAACTAATGAGCACTTAACATACTCATCCCATTTTAACCTGTCAACGCTCGGACTAAACGACCTGAAATAATTCTCAGCTTTTTTTCCAGTGTCATTTTTGTGCATTTCTGCTGCTTCCCTCTTTCTGGCAACCTGTCCCACAGAACTAAAATCCCCAGCCCAGCAGATGGTAGGCAGAGCGAGTGGGCAGTCAGTGAGGGGGAACCCAGCCGTACCCGCTGGAAGAGGAATGGGGTGAGTGCTGCACGCTCAGCTTTCCACCGCGTTTACACATAAAACATTCAGAGAAGCATTTGCTCTTTGGAGTTAATTTGGAACCTAGTCAGAGCATTTGCAGTAGGGCTAATACTGCTCTGAAGCACCCACTGTTGCAAGAAGCAGCGCTAGACRTTCGCGGCTGCGGAATTTCTGATGCCACCTGGGGCAGTTTTTCCCCCAGGTTCAGCCCCGCTAAACCTAGAGCTGTGCGTCGCTGTGCAACGCTGGACGCTTCCCGTTCCGTAGCTGTGTGGCAGTAACGCCCCCAGCGCCACCCTCGCGAGCGAGAGCTCAGCCTTCGCGTGAGTGTTTGCACGTGGGAAGGGCTGCGAGGCTCCAAGAAACTGCAGGAAGTTTGCACCCTTCCCGCTGCAAGGCAGGTCTGGGCTGAGCCTCAGCTCCGGCCGTGCTCATTTAACTGTGCGTTTTACACAGCGTAAGGTGTAGTAAAACAGACAAAATATACTGAAATTGTGTTTTAATGGTGCTTAGAGTTGTATTTATTTACATAACTGGTAAGATTTTCATTCACCGGCTCTCTGCCACGTTCCTGCACAGCTGCCTTTGGCGTCGTGCAGGGGCTCAGAGCACAGCAGCTCTCGGCTGTGTTTCTGGAACTGGAGGCAGCTTTGGTGCAGTGCAGTTGTGCTGTGCAAAGCAGGGCTTCATTTTATGTCCAAGTTCAAAGGTACTCTCCTACATTAAAAATTTCCTCCTTAAGAAACGTTTGCAGTTAGGGCTGAATTGGTCAGCGAGTGTAAAGTTTAGTAAAGCTCTGCCACAGACATCCAGAGCACTAGGGGGAGAGGAGAAATTCGTGAATTTGGGCCACACTAARGAGGAAAAGGGGACTGTTGTTACCCGATGCTTCATTTAATCGTGCTGTTACAGGGCTTGTTCATAGTTTACAGTGGTTTCCAGCTTCCCTCTGAGATAAAACCTGKTATTGAAGCTCCTGAGACCTGAGCTTACCTTCTGGTTTTCCCTGCTTTTTAATGTCAGCCTTTTTGTCTAAACTTTGCTCTGCCTTGGCTCATGCTCTGCTTCCTTCGCTGTATTCACAGCCTTTCCTCCTGTGCTCGGAGATAGGTCGCCCCAACCCGCACTGGAACTAGAGCTCTTAAATGAAATCGGAAGGCAGTTCGTGCATAGGGCTGCGTGGCACTTGGTGAATCTTCGTGCTTGTTCATTGGAGAGGGAGGAATTCATGACCGAAGTGAAGCAAAGGGCAGTTAGGCAAGGAGCAGGAGCTGGGTGAGAGGAGGTTGGGTGGGAAGGTCATTGGAAATAAGTTAAAGGAGATTACAGGAACACGTGGATTTGACGGAGTTTTGAGGAGCTGGGACTGGCAGCTGGTTCATGTGTGTGGCTCGGCATGAAGGCAGGCCCAGAATAACGGGCAGAAAGGTGAAGCGGGAAGATTCCCGAGGAGAAGAGAAACGGCACATGCAAAGAAGGCACCAGGAGGGCGGGTTTATGCAGAAGCTTGAAGAGAAATAACAGTTTCAGCACACAGAGCAAGAGATTGGAAGGCAAAGGAACAGTTGGATAGTTGCAGCAAAAGGGAGGAAAAATTGAGGCTTTTGGGTGTCTTTGCAATCTGAAGGGGAGTGGATTCAGGTAGGCTAAAGACAGCCAAACATTTCAGAAGAGGAATAAAAAGCAAAATAAAATATCAGGTCAGAAGAATTAGTAGCCTGAATTAATAGTCAGGAGGTGCTGGGTGAGGCAGGACAGGGGCTGCCCTGCCTGTCCTTCATGTCCTGCAATGAAGACGCTGCGATGGAAATGAAAACGGGGGGATACAGATGTGTGCTAGGAGACTTGAGGCACTACTGGAGAGGTGGCTTGGTGGCCCCAGCAGTCACTTCCAATATTTCTGTGGATAAAAGCTGTGCCTTGGAGAGGGCAGGAATATGGGTTTTGAGAGAGGAAACTCCAGTTCGTGCTGCCTGATTTCCAGCGGCATCCATGTGCGCAGTGATTCCTGCCGGCAGGCTGCAGGCCCCGCAGCGTGCCTGTGTTCCCGCAACTYGCGAAACCTTTCCTGACGTTTCCTGCGGGGAGGAAAGGTCCTGGTGCGAGTGGCACAGGGAGAAACGCCTTCACAATTGTGCAAGCAAATGCATCTTGTCGGGTGTCTTTTGGATCCTATAAAACTCTGGAAAAACTGCTGATAGCAGCACTCGCTCCTCCAATGAAGCCAGTGCTACAGTGTGTTTATTAAGGGGTTGGGAATGATGTACTGTCCGCTTCTATATGAGAAGATTAGAAGGATGAACCAACAATAAAAAACTATAAAGAAATTTTAGTGCTCTGTGGAATTTTTATCTATTTCATTATTCTAAAAACTTTCAGTACTGGTAAGAGCACAAAAGGGTATGGGGTTTTTTGTATTGCCTCATTATACTTTATTTTCTTCATGACAGAACAATCTTTTCTAATATTTAAGATTAGGAAAAACCATCTAAGACAGAATTGGTAGTTTTATAGGTTCAGAAGAGGCGTTATCAGACTAAATCAAACTGAAACATTACAGACTTACAGATATGTAGCCTTGGACCATGACTGTGGCCGTACTGGTCTGAATTAATATGCATGGAATGGATTAAAAAGATGTTTAATAAAGAAGTGCCACGCCATATGCTGTAAGACTGAATAAAAGCCTTAGTAGTACCTCACAGCAGAATCTTTTATCCTGAAAATTGAGCTCCTGGTAGTTAGGTTATGTCACATAACGAGCATACAGTCCTCTAAGGGCCAATTGATTCTTCTCCCAGTGATGCTCATACAAGATGTCATACATTTTTAGTTACAGGTTGTCTATTAATAATGAATCTAAATGTATGTTTATATTTATGTGTGCCTGCATATAAACCAGAGACTAATGTCTATGTATAGGAGTTCCTTCTTCATCTAGCATATTGCTCTGTTTGTGCACCAGACTGGTGTAAACATTAATTGTAACTACTGGATAAGCAAAAAATAAGTAAAAATCCACCAAAATATGTAGATTAATTTTAGATATTACCTAAAATGGTTACTAGAGAAAGAGAGAAGGTGTCTTGACAATAATCTCAACTTGTCACAGAATCACACACAGAATCACAGCATGGTTGAGGTTGGAAGGGACCTCTRGAGATCACCTAGTCCAGCCCCCTGCTCCAGCAGGGACACYCAGAGCACGGGGCACAGGGCGGCATCCAGGCRGG